TTCAGCTACTTTTATGAGATAAGTATTGAAACAAATTATCTCAAATTAAAAAAGAAGCCATAAAATCAAGCAATTTTATGTAAATATATTCAAAAATAAAAGAAATTGATGATAAAGAAGATAAGGAATAAAAATAGTCATAAAATAATAGATAAAAATAAGTAGTGAATGAGATGGAACTAATTCAATATTGTAATTAAATCCTATAAAATTTAGAGAATTAAAAGTTTTTTTAAATAAAATTCAATTGCAAATGATTTCCTTTATTTAGATAATAAGATAATTAATGAAAAAAATGTTAGTTATACTGTTAAATTAGATGCTAATATTATAGTAGCAGCATTTCAACTGCATCAATTTACAGCATTTGATTTTTACAGAATATTTGTGGATTTTTACCATACTTAATAAATATAGAAATGTGAAGAACTAGGAAAAAATACCAATTCATAAAGATACTAAATTGATCTATAATATTTTTTTATTTATTTGTCAGTTGAAACGACTTTAAAGGAATGGGATTAAATTAATTATAAATAGAAAGGGAAATTAAAATTAACATCTGAAATTGATGATAATTAAGAAGTATCATGGGAAGATCAATATTATATTTTAATGAAAATGAAGTAGATTCAGAGTATAAAAGTTAATTACGAAAGTGTATAATTAGAAAGGAAGTATATTGTCATTTAATTATTAGTCTATTTAAGACTTCTTTGTTGCAGATTACACACTTTTTTTTTTGAAAAAATATTTGTAACATGTTAATGAAAAATAATTGATAAAGAGTCTGTTTAGTAATCGAAATAGATTAAATTTAACGTTAGAAAATTTTTCAGGGAGTTTAGAACTTCTAAAGCATAAATTAAATTAATTTAATAACATTAAATAAAAATTAATATAAGTAATTAAGTTATAAAATAATCAGAAGAAAATCTAAATGGGATATCTATTTAAGATACAATACTTCGGTTTTATAATTTTTTAAAAGTAATCTAAGTAATACAAATTTCAATAATTTTTCTATATATAATGCAGTTTTACATTAGCAAAAATAGAAAATTCAAATTGGATCAATTAAGCTTGTAAAGAAATTGTTTCTTTAATTGGAGGCAAAAAAATGTTAATTCAATTATCTTTATTGAAGATGGGTCTTAATTAGTTTTAAGTATTGAAGATGGAACTATCAAATTATGGAATGTAGTTCAAAATCAACAACCAAAAGAAGATAATTTGAAAATTAGAAGATTCTAAAATTATCTTATTCTAAAATTGACCATACATTAGCATGCTTAACTAATAATTAAATATCTATTCTGAATACTTAAGATTTATCTTTTAGTAACTATTAACCATTGATAAATTATAACTATAAAGACATTGTTGTTATCATCAAAAAAAGAATGTCTTGCAGAAAACTCTATTTAAAGGTTGTTCCTTATAGAAACTCAAAATTTAATTATTTCTCAAAATAATCCATGGCATTATAGAAATTTGGAAAATTAATGACTTTTCAAATTTATACCTTTTACAAATCACTCAGTTAAATGAGAGCATTGAAAAATTGAATTTTCAAAAAATAATAAATTATTAGTAATCCAGACTTTATCAAAATTATTCGAATATGATTAATCTGAATTATTTAACGAATAAGAATCTGCAAAATTTATTGAGTAGTCTGTCACATAAACATTAATTGAATAATAATATTTAAAAAAGGTTTATTTAGATACTTGTATTTAAGAAGTAGAAATTAATTGCAAAAATAATGTTTTAACTTGTAGTGAAGAGAAAAATAATTAATATAAATTAAACATTTGGAATATCAATAATTAGAAACCTAAATTATATAGTGCCACTTTTATAGACAATTAAGATGAGATTTATCTATTAAAATTTTGAAAAGATGGTAAAATTTTATTAAGTTGCATATTAAACAATATATTCGTTTGGAATGTTAATGATTTAAAATTATTTCAAAAATTAGAAACAAATCATGATAGAATTAAAGGTATAAAATTTTCGATTGACACAGACTGTTTATGTTCATGTTGCTCAAATAAATTTTTTATGGATTTTTTATGTTCTATAGAAATACATCAAAAGTTTAGTGATCAAAATAATATGATATAAAGCTATTCTTTTCCACCTCACAACAATTTTCATTGTAAAGCAATCTAATATTGCAACGGAAATTTTGGATATTAATGATTAAAATCGAAATCAATCAGTATTGTAATTTTGGAATATAAAAGAATAAAAATTAGAATTTGAATAAATATTCAAAATATAAATTGATTATTTGAACTTTTTGATGATGGAATGGAGTTGTTAACTTTAGAAGGTAATGTAATTATATAGGATAGAGATTTGAAAAATTATTCTAAAATATTAATTGATGTTTCTTTTGAAAATATTAAGCGGAAAAAAATTAGTTTTATTTTGATAAATCTCTACTATTTTTTGAAAGAGATTGTATCTACTAAAACTTTTTATAAGATGTAGATCCTGAGACAAAAAAACCTTAAAAAATCTATTTTTCTTCTTTAATATAGTCTGTTGCATTTTGTAAAAATTTTGAGATCATAGC